GCCTCCGGTTCGCCCGCTCCTTCCGCGGAGGACCGCGGCGGCGGCGGGGCGGCGGCAGCGCCTCGTCACAGAGCGCCCGGCGCACAGCTCTCCGCCCCGTGTCCCTGGCCGCTCGAAGGTGACCCCGAACGTCGCAAACCGGCCGGCGGTCGAGGCGGCGCGCGTACTCACACTTTCCCAGCTCGGACTTGTCACCCGGCAACCCAAACTCAGCCACAGCCCCCAGCTGGCCTCATCCTCCCGAGAGAGGCAGGGCTGAAAGAGGCAGGAGGCGTGGCAAAAGGCGGCGACTTCCGGTCTCTGGCCCTCTCCTATCCAGTTTGGCTCCTCGACCGGAAACACGTGATATGGAGCGCCATTTTTCTTAAGGGCAGAAGGCAAGACGTTACGGGCAAAGAGTTTTTTTTTCCTTTCTAAATCTCTGTGCTTCCTGAGTATGGATCGATGTTCGTGACTGTCTTAGTGAGGAGGAACTAAAAGGATGTGGGGGTAAAATGAGGATAGGAGTGCCTGCTGTGGTGGCGCAGGCCTGTAATTCCAGCCAGCGCTTGGAAACTGAAGCCGGAAGATCTGGCGAGTTCAGGCCAGCCTGGGCTCCACAGTGAGTTCAAAGCTACCCTGAATTACATAGCGAGACCCTGTATCAAAAAATAAATATGTTTGGGGCCGTAAAGCCATAAAGATTTATGTTTGGCAGGCTAACGATAGAAGGAAAATCTTTTGACTCTGTTGTTGTGTGATTGGCTTCCTGGCCCGTGAAGTGCAGGAGTGAAACAGGGAGAGGTGTAGCCTCTTAATTACAGATCAGACAGGAATTTGACATGTCCTTCCTTAGTGCTCCTGAAACGTTGTTAGGAATCCTGTTAAACTGAAGATTCAGATTCATTAGGTCAGGGGCACAACCTGAGAGTGCATTTCCTACATCCCTAGAGAGCTGCTGTTGGGCTGTACATAGCTAAATAGAATGTCCGGAGTATTTCTTTCCAGAGCTTGCAAGAGATGTTTTTGCAAATAAGGCCACTTCATCTTTGTAAGCCACAGATGCTTTATAAAATTAGAATCCTGATAATACCTACATTATGGGTTGTGAAAATTAAAGGGATGGATAGCATGTAAAAAGCTTAAAATAAAGCTGGTCATAGAAGAAGAACTGAATAAATCAAATACTGCTCATCTGCTGGAACACATGAATATCAATAAGTAAATAATAATACATTAATTTCTGGGAAGGAAAAAAGTCCCAAGGCAATGAGATAGACTTTCTGAAGAAAAATGAAAGAGGCAGAGCCACTCAGATTTGTCTGTTTGTAACTACAATTAGTGACATGGAAATTAAGATTCCAGGGATCTTGCCAGGTATAGTGGTACATCCCTGTAATCCCAGCACTTGGGAGGCTGAAGCAGGAGAATCATAGCAAGTTCAAGGCCAGCCTGGGCTTCTTAGTTTAATACAAGCCTGGACTACATAGCAGGCTGTACTCTCTCAAAATTTAAAAAAAAAAAAATTCCAGAGATCTTACAAAATACATTTGCCAGATATCTTTCAGCTGTGTGGGACCTCCGCGGAACATGATCAGGCAGGCTACTGGCTCAGGGGCACATGGGCCTTGCCTGAACATGGGTGAACACTACATAGATTAAACAAAGAAAAACAAAGGAATCTCTTTTAGGATAGAGATTATTTTGTTTTCACAATGGCTGAAACTCACTTCTAAATCCCTTAAAAACCCCTAGATAAACCCAGGTGATACCTCGTGTCTGTAATCCCAGCACTCAGGAGGGTGAGGCAGGAGGATTGCCATCAGTTTAGGTCAGCCTGTACTACATATTGAGTTCAAAGCTACATAATGAGACCCTGCCTCAAAAGCAAGCAAACAAACCAAGCCTAGATAAGAACCCTCATGAGTGTCCTACTCAGAGCACCCTCCTGCCCAGCAGGAGCTTTACATCCTGGCCTTTGTAACTTTTACTTTCTTAAATAAATTTGCTTGCATTCTACCTCCTCATCCTCCATTTCATTCTTCGTCATCATGGGACACGACCCCAGTGTTCTGGTAACATATTTAGGGGCTTGCCCAGGATTCCAAGGGGAAGCAAGTAAGGTCTACTTTCCTGCACGTTTTGCTTTCACTGTATGACACTCTGCTCAAAACTGTATGAGGGCCAGGTGTGGTGGCACACACTGTAATCCCAGGACTTGGGAGGCTGAGGCAGGAGAATCATTGTGAGTTTGAGATCAGCCTGGGCTACAAAATGCAGCCGGCCAGAAGTGCATAGTGAGACCCTGTCTCGAAAAGACAAAAAAACAAAACAAAACAAAAAAAAATATGAGAACCCTCCAATGGCAATTAGCACCATTGCCAATCTTTTTTTTTTTTTTTTTTTTTTTTTTTTGGTACGAGGGATCGAGCTCAGGACCTTACATTTGCCAGGCTGGCGCTTGTGTCACTGAGCTATGTCCCCGGCCCCTACTGCTGATCTTGTAGTCTTTGGGGACAGGTTTTACTGATGTGAGCTGAGCTGATTCCCCTCTAACAGGAGTAGAGGGAATGTTAACCCAGTCTTGCCTCAGTTTTCCTTTCTGATTTGATTTTTCCACTAGCAAGGGAGTGATCTCTGCCCTTGGGGCTCTTGGCTCTCTGTGGCCAACGGGTCCTTGGCCATATCGCTCCTTTAACTCCCTGCAGGTGGTAGAACAAATTGTCTTTCTCTATCCTGACTCCTTTTCTTGGCAAGCTGAGCCAGGAAGTAAGAAAGATCTTGTACAATATCTTCTTGCCTTGTCTTAAATTGTCTGGTTATAAATTTGCATACATGGGTCAGATGATGAAAATCTATTGCAGCACCTGCCAGTTCAAAGACTCTCATAAAAGGATACCTCAGTCATGGGGATGGGGCATTGTAGGTGATGCAAGTCCAGTTCCATGCATGTGCTAGGTTTGTGGTTTATGTTTGTGCAACCAAAGGATAAAACAGCTTTGTTACACAATTTTTTTCCTCCCAAATGTTGTGCCCCTGTTGCTTCCAAGTGCCAGAGATCTTGCCTGTTATTCTTTGTCTCCGTGTTGAGCCATATTCTTTCTGTCATTCCACTCCCACCTGCTAAATTGCACCAACCCTCCTGAATGTAAGATAAACTGGTGCATTTACTTATTTATTTATTTATTTATTTACTTATTGAGCCAGGGTTTCTTTGTGTAGTTCAGGTTGGCCTGGAACTCACTAATGTAATCCAGGCTGGTCTTAATCTTGTGGTGATCCTCCTGCCTTAGCCTCCCAAGTGCTGGGGTTACAGGCATGTGCTGCCATGTCCAGCCAAACTGGTACTTTTACTTTTTATTTTATTTTATTTTATTTTATTTTATTTTATTTTATTATTTTTTGGCTTTTTGAGATGGGGTCTCACTCTGCAGTTCAGGCTGGCCCTGTGCTCACTTTGTAGCCCAGGCTGTCTCAAACTCACAACGATCCTCCTGCTTCACCCTCCAGACTGCTGGGATTGCGGGCATGCGCCACCATGCCCAGCTTGTTCCTCTCTTTTTGCTCTTGCTGCTTTTGCTCTTTTCTGCCACCATGAACACTATGTTGTTGCTCTCTGCCATGTACCACCCTGCCTTGGAGCCAGCCGAGTATGGACTGAAACCTCCACAAACTGTAAACTAAGTAAACCTTTCCTCCCTTAATTTTGGGTATGAGGTATTCTGTCTCAGCAAGGAGAGAAAAGTAACCAAGACAGGTTACTTTTGGATTCCAATTTGACTTAGTATTTTTTATTTAATTGGTATGCTTAAAATATTTCTTGTGCATTGATATAGTTCTTAAACCACAACTCAGTGTTAACTTGCTCTTCCGCTACTTTCTCAATGGGCTAAGATATGGATACCACTAACGGCCACTTGGAGGTCTGTTGGCCAGCCAGCCATAACTGGAATGTAGACATGTATAGCCTCATTCAAAGTGTACTGGGGACGTTTTAAAATCCAAGGAGATACTAGCCTTGTTACAGAAAGGAACTAGTAAGTCAGACATAAAAAGAAATATGAAGAAGGTTACAGGCATAAAGATATATTTTGGGGTCCTCAGGAAGCTGAAGCAGGAGGATTGCTGTGAGTTCCAGGCCAGGCAAGGCTACAAAGTGAGTTCAAGGTCAGCCTGAAATGCATAGTGAAACTTGTCTAAAAAAGATATATTTTTGGTAGCAGACAATTTTGTATGATAAGGTTTTTGCCCTATCAAAATGGAAAGAGGATAGTGGCAAAGTTAGGAATTCCAGCTCTGTCAAGAAAGGTTTATAGAAGATAAAGTTTATGAAAAGAAATATAAGTTAGGCAATTTTAAATTTTGCTCTTGTTGGTTTGGGTAACCCTGGGCTGTTCCTTCTGAACCTCCATGTCACTCAAAGTTGGCTAAAGGTCTAGAGTACTGACTCGTAAATCATCAGTCACTCCTCCCCGTGTCTCAGCTCCCCTCTCTGGTCTCTCAGCAATGGTCCTTCTCTATTTTTTCTTTTGTAGGAGATGTAAGAACAAGAGACACTATAGCTGAGTAGGATTTTCTGTCTTCTTAGATGGGAATATTGTAAGAGGCACATGATGGTGACAGCCTGCTGGACAGCTGCTTAGGGCTAGTTGAAATATTGGCTTTGTATTTGGGTTTGATAGCAAGTATGGCTCTTTTTTTTTTTTTTTGTACTGGGAATTGACCTTGCACTTGCCAGGCAGGCAGTGTATTGCTGAGCTAGGTCCCCAGCAGTACAACCCTTTTAAAAGAAAGCTTAGGGCTGGGGGTTTAGCTCAGTGGCAAAAAGCGCCTGCTTGGCAAGCGCAAGGCCGTGAGTTCGGTTCCTGGTACCGGAGAAAAACCAAAAAAAAAAAAAAAAAAAAAAAAAAAAAAAAAAAAAAAGAAAGCTTAAAAGACTACTCTGCCCAACTTTGTGGTTGCCAGGACCCTGCCCCACTTTAGCCTTTATTGTCTTTCAGTACACAACAGAGGGTCTAACAGTCAATCTTGTTTCACTTACAGAGACATTTCAGTTCTTTCAGTTAAAGACAGTTTAACTTCTGGGCACAACTGAAGGGCTTCGGGGACAAAAGAGATGGGAAAGATCGTGCCAGTCAGAGGAGCTTGTCAGGTAGCCTTATGCCCTCTTGCACCTAGTTTTCGGTCTTGAGCAATTAGGACCTCACAGGTGGCCAAGAGACACCGTTTTAGTTACTTTTCTTGTTGCTGAGACTAAAATACCCAACACTCCAAGTTAAAGGAGGAAAGGTGTATTTAGCTCACAGTTTG